CTAGGAGAAGGAGAAAAGGAGAGGTAGAACGGGGTAAATTATCTCACAAAAAAAAACACAGAAAAGAAAAGGCTCTTACAGTGGAGGGGAAATGGTGGAAGATGAGAGGGAATGAGTAAATCTTGTTTTCATAGGATTTGACTTAAGGAGGGAATAACATACACGCTTAATTGGGTATGGAAATCTGTCTTACCCTACAGGAAAATGGGGGGCGAGGAAAGGGACAAGAGAGTAGGGGGATGATAGAGAGGAGGGCAGAATGGGAAAGGGGGTAATCAAAAGCAAGTACTTATGAGGAGGGACAGGGTCAAAAGAAAGAATAGAATAAAAGGGGGTGGGATAGGATTAAGGGAAATAGAGTTAGTTTTTCACAGCATGTCTACTATGGAAGTGTTTTGCATAACTGCATATATATAACCTATATTTAGTTGCTTGCCTTATCAATGAGGGTGGGTGGGGAAGGAGGAAGGGAGAAAATTTGGAACCCAAAGTTTTGAAAAACACATGTTTAAAAAAATGTTTTCACATGCAACTGGGAAATAAGAAATACAGGAAAAGAGGTACAGAAATCCATCCTGCCCTACAGGAAAAGTGAAGGGGAAAGGGATAAGAGAAGGGAGGGGGAGAGATAGAAGGGAAGGCAGACTAGGGGAAAGGGCATTCAGAATGCATGCCATCTTGGGGTGGGGGAGCAGCAAGATGAGGTGAAAATTTGGAACTCAAAATCTTGTGGAAGTAAATGTTGAAAACAAAAAAATAAATAAAAATTACCATTAAAAAAAAAAACAAATTATACCACAGGACTAGCAGTCACCTTCTTTGCCTAGGGGTAAGGCCAGCCCTGCTGTTGCAAAGAGATGGGAAAAAATAATAAATGAAATAACCAATGCTTGTATTTTTCACATATCTTTCCATGTCTCATTCCAAAACTCCCTGTGGGCTGGGCTTTCGCCTATCACATCAATCAATCCTTTTGTGAAATTACTCAGAACCAATTTGCTGAACCAATTTGTCTTCAGTGGAAGTTAAGAAATGCAAGAACCAATCTGAGCAGAAATAAAAGGAAAACAGAATAATGTTCAAATACCCACAACGTGTTGCTGATTACACAAGGTAGCAATTATTGCTGAAAGACAGGTGCTACTTCTTCCTAAATCTCAGTAAGAGGAAATTTCATATTTGAAACCCAAAGTACATATTTCAGATTCAGAAGTCTAAAGGGGAAGAGAAACACATGATCATGGGATTTAAAGGTGAAGGGGACTTTAAAGCTCATCTAATCCAACCCATTCTATTTTTACAGAAAAGGAAACTGAGACCCAAAGACTTGCCCAGGATCTCATGAGTAGTAAGTGGCAAAGCTAGGATTTGATCCAAAGTCTTCTGACTCCAAATGAGCTCTAGCTCCTTTCTGGGCCTCAAGGTTTGTTGTTGTTGTTGATGATGATGATGATGTTTTAAGAATCAGAATAGCAGTGGCAAAAAACTGGAAATTGAGGGGATGTCCATCAGTTGGAGAATGGCTAAACAACTTATGGTATATGATTGTGATGGAATAGTACTGTGCTGTAAGATATAATGAGCTGGTTGATTTTAGAAAAACATATAAGAACTTGCATGAAATAATGAAAAGTGAAATGAGCAGAAGCAAGAGAACATCGTATACAGTAACAGCAATATTATTCAAAGAACAACTATGAACAGGGGGCAGCTAGGTGGCTCAGTGGATAGAGCACTGGCCCTGGAGTCAGGAGGACCTGAGTTCAAATCCAGCCTCAGACACATAACACTCACTAGCTGTGTGACTCTGGGCAAGTCATTTAATCCCAATTGCCTCACCAAAAATAAAAAATAAACAATAAAATAAAGAGCAACTAAGAACAACCAAGTTATTCTGATTATTATAAATACTCAAATCAACTACAAAGGACCTAGGAAGGAAGATGCTATCTACCTCCAGAGAAAGAATTGATAAATAGAAGTATGTATAATATGGTTTTACATATATTTCTAAATCTGTGTCAAATGATGGCCTTCTTTAGTGTTGAGTAGGGGGAGATGGTTCAGAACTTAAAATGTAACAAAAAAAATTAATTTAATTAAATTTTTTTAAAATAAAATTAAATTTTTTAAAAAATTTTAACAGAATTAAAGAAAGTGAGAATTGGAAGTTACCTCAGTAACCATCTAATCCAATCCATACCCAGAAGGAATTGCCACTACAACACACCAAACATGTGGTTGTCTAGCCTCTGCATAAAGATTTCCAGGGAGGGAGATCCCACCATCCTTCAAAACATCTCAATTCATTTTGAGCAGTGCTAATTGTTAGGCAGGTGTGTCATGGGATATTCGGGGAGGAATAGCATCTCTGGTGTGAGGGCTTGTAAAGCCCTTTTCAGGACTGCTCATCCACCTTCTGTGTCAACTGATCACCCACCTCTCACCTGTGGCTCCACAAAACTGTAACATGCCCAGTGGCCACACCCCTGAAACACCCTGAGCAGACAGGATAAACCAGATTGAGGGTAACCAATGGTCCTCAAAACCAGGCAATGAGTTAAGGGGATATCTACCCCAAGCACGTAAAGACTTCTCCGGGCAGAATGGACAGATGAGAATAATTTGTTCCAATGGCCATTAAGGCATCTGAAATAGGTGCTGTGGAGTACTTAGTGCTTGGTCTGATATCAAAGTCGCCAAGGTCATCCTGACTTTTGTCCTGCCACTGGACTTTGATAACTCTGCAAGAGAGAGTGAGGCTAACAACTTTCTGCAACTCTGCCTCACTTAAATCCAATTCACAGGTAAGTCGACAAAACTCTGTGATGTCATTGGTCCTCTCCAAAAACGAAGGACAAACAATATTTGTTAGGCCTGTTTTTACTGATATCTACTCTAAATCTTCCTTTTTTGTAATTTCCATCTCTTGTGCTTCAGTTTCTGCCCTTTGGGGCCAAACAGAACAACCCTTTAAATACTTGAAGATAGCTATCATTTCCAGCACCCCCACACACATACACACAAGTCTTCTCTTCTCCAGGTAAAAAAATCACTAGTTCCTTCAACCAATCCCCATATAACATGGAGTCGAAGCCCTTCCTTCGCCATCCCGCTTGCCTTCTTCTGGATAATCTCCAATTTATCATCCCTTCTTAAAAGGCAGTGCCCCGAACTAAAAACACTACTTCATATACAGTCTATGGAGTACAGAGTATGGAAAGTCTATCATATTCTAATTCCTTGAAGGTCTCTGTGCTTCCCAATGCAGCCCAAGATTACATTAGCTTTTTTGGCTACCATGTCCCACCACTGTCTTCCTTTGAGTTTGCAGTCCAATAAAACCACCAGATATTTTCCAGACAAAATGCTCTCTATTCATGCCTCCCCCATCCTATACTTGTATCTAATTTCTTTTTATTTTTCTCTACAAAATTCAAGGCCAAAACTAGCTGGTTCCTTTCAGCTCTGACATTTTAAGCCATCCTAATATTCCCTGCAAGGATTATCTATCAATATCACATTGCAGAACACACAATGACACCATGGCCAATGCATCTCAAATAAGTTTTATTCTGATTCAAATGTCTGAGTTTAAATTACATTTTACAATAGTCATGTAGCACTTCTGTGGGAAACTCAAAATCTGCTGATATCACAATTACAGAGATTAAATGGGCAGCTTTTGCTTGGTCAAAATGTGAACACGGAGAGAATTCAGGCTCCTTTTCCAAGAGCAAGGTCTCTCTGCAAAGAGATATCTACACATATGTGCCAACATGTGTGTAATCCTCCACAATCAACTGGTTGCACACAACATAATCCCAATCAACACTTCACTTTTCTCAATGGCACTGTGAGCCTCTCTAGGCTAAATGGTATGTCCTGAACATGCTAAACCAAGATGCTTCCGAAAAGTGGGTCCTTGAGAAGGCTGGTGAGAATACACATGTTTTAAGTGGTACATGAGACATTGCTACCCTTGATCGGCACTGCTATGTGAGCTCATTCAAAAATCCGCTGGAAGTAACAGTTTTACCGTAGCACTGGATAAAAATGCTAGATAAAGGCCAAGGAGCAATGATCTGGCTAGACAGTTAAGGAGATAATGGAATTCTTCTCTTTGTAGTTTCTCAGAAACTGTATTCCTTTTTCTCCTTTGAAAGTAGACCGTTTCTCAACCCCTTTTCCTTCCTATGTGGCTGCTAGAAAGAAGATATTTTTCCTCCTATTTGAGTCTTTTTACTCACACTCATTACTCTTTTCTACTGACTGAAGAGAAAGACACTTGGGTTGGTTAGAGACTTCTCCATCTCGGTTGCTATGAGATGATGCTGGTAATCACCACACAGTGCAAACCCTTCACCTGGGTCTCCTCTTCCTCCTCTTTGCATCTACCCTGATAGAAAAGGCTCCTGTGAAAAGGGAACAGAGCAATCACTTCTGGATATGGTCTCTCCTATCTTCTTCCCCCACAATTTAGGTGAGAATTAAATAAGGACATCCTTTATCTTCCTTCCCTTCCCCTTGCAACAGATGCACCACTCACTCCACCAAAGTTGTTAGTGGATAAATAAAAACCATTAACATTGTTGTCTGCTTAAACTCACTGACATGGCTACACACAGACATCTGTCCTTCTCAGTCAATCCAGGATTTCCCTCCAAGGTTCCAAGTAGCCAGTCCTCCCACACAGGCATCCATCTCATAGATACAGTTCATGGACTTGCCAGATGGCCTGAAAGTTCAAACACCAAATCTGGTTTGGTTGGAGAGCCACTGGAAATGTGTGCAGGAGGTGGTACGTACAAATATATATTTACACAAGATGGGACTTCGTGCTTAGCTAACATTCTCCAGGAAGTACCTGCCTAAATTGGCCCCTATTTTCATCCAGATTTGGGGGTCTGAGGCAAAGGGGCACTGTAGCTTTCTGAATCTCTTCTTAGTCTTCTCACGCATCCCTGGGGACTCCTATTTCATCATCGCATCGGCCTCATTTAACTTACTGCCACAATAGGCTCTACGGACGAGATATCTGTCTTAGCTGAATGAACATTGGAGGCAGTTGGCCGGTTGTGAGAACCTTGTACCCTTTTGCAGTTGTCACTCTCTGGCCAAGCCACCCGGTAAGAGGGCACAGTAGAAGGAAGTATATGTTCTCGAGGCCTGGGCGCCTTTTTGCATATGCTCAGCAAAGCCTTCAGCTCGGACCTGAAATTCTCATTGAGCCAGCAGTAGATGAAGGGGTTATAACAAGTGCTGCTCATGGCGAACCAATGGAAGGCAAAGTAAAGAGCATTATTGCTCCGGATGGTCTTGCTGGAGAGGAGGAGCACATAGCAGTTCAAGGGGAACCAGCAGACGGCAAAGAGCACCACAACCAGCATCAGCATCTTGATGGTCTTCTTCTTTTTGCGCCGTAGGGCATAGTACTGCTCTGTGGTCACATCGCCAATGGCATTGCGCAGCCAGAGCTTCTTGGCCACGCGGGTATAGGCCACAGAGATGATGAGAAGGGGTGAGATGTAAAGCAAAACAAAGGTGGCCAGGTCCAGGTACTTCCAGAAGAGGTCTGCTGGGTCTGGGAAGTCTGGGAGGCACAGGCTACGGACAACATCTTCACTGTTGGGTGGAGGAGGGGGAAGGAAGTGAAGAGAAAAAACCATCAGAGAGAACAGAGAACAGCCTGAGAAGAATCAACAAATGAAAGCTAAGAAATTATCTACCCTGTTGTACTTCACTCTTCTGCAAGGAAAATGAGCCAAGGGGTAAAGAAATGATGGTCCCTCTGAGTCGATGACAAAGTTGGGAATGGACTGCCTAGGTTTCCTAGTATTATCAGTAATTCTGCTCTTTATCTGGGGTCTTGAAGGACACTTAGTAATAATCTAGCCCTAGTCTAACCTCTTCATTTGACAGATGAGTAAACTGAGACCCAAAGAGAAATAGCTTGAAATTCCACAGGGAAGTAAGTAGGAAAGCTGGCATTTGAACCCAGAACCTCTGAGACTAACTCCAGTATTCTTCGCAGAACATCACACTATTGACCTTCTCACTATACCAGCATGCTCCTCCAGATGCCTTGATAACCTTATCAAATATCCTGGTCTCCCATCTTTGGTGTAAACCCAAGAAAAGGTCCCTTTCCACATTGGGAACTGCAAAATAAAAAGGTCTGCCTTTATCTTTGGGTAATACTTTCAATTAATTCTGGCATTTTTTTCATGGAAATAATTACATTTTACAATGAATTTAAATCTGGGTCTCAGTTTGCTCAGCTATCAAACAAAGGGATTGGGGCTAAAAAAAAAATCTAAGATCCTTTTTTTCAGTTTTGATTTCTGTAATTCCACTATTGTAGGTTTACTCTTTCCTATGACTCGTCCTGCATTATTGCAAGCATATTTGGGACAGAATGGTGAGAGTGTGGCATAAGGATATGTGGGTATCTGTGCAATTTTAAGACCTGCCATTCACGACCAGGCTGAGCCTGGTTGTTCTGGTTCTGATATCAGGATATGTGATCATGTGCCCCCTCGTGGCAAAAGACTATCACTACAGTTTGGCCTTTCAGGTGCTGAATGAAAACTGGTAAATCACTCAAAAACTGAGCAGGATGGGAGGATTAAGGAAGATTAGGAAGAAAAAGAAGAGGAGATGGAGTGATATAGTAGTAGACATAAAGAAAAAATAGAATGGGAAAAGGAAAAGGACATGCTAGAAAGAGGGTAAATAAGATGGATAAGCAAAAACTGAACTACTGGCTGAGGATGTCATAGAGGAGGAAAATAAATATAAAAGATGTAGTGCTTGAAGGTGGACAAAGTAATTTACGGATGTCACCCCTATCTGATCCTTAAAACATGCAATAATAGATTTAGAGCTGGGAGGGCCCTCATTTTACAAATTTACAAATGAGGAAAATGAGGCATAGAAAAATGAGATTTGAATTCCGGTCCTCTGACTCCAAAGAACTCACTCTTTCCACTCCATCGCACAGTATCAGCTAAACTAGATGGTCCCTGAGGTCTCTTCAAACTTGGAGTTTATATGATTCTATAATTCTTATCCAATATATACATACATACATACACACATACGTATATGTAAATGTAGATATATTTGTACATACATATATATTGGAAAGGCATGACATATGTATTTATATTTATGTGTGTATATAGCACAGTAAGGTGGCACAGTGAATAAAGTGCTTGGTTTGGAAGCAGGAAGAGTCATTTTCCTGAATTCAAATCCAGCCTTAGACACTTACTAGCTGTGTGACCCTGGCCAAGTCACTTAACCCTGTTTGCTTCAGTTTCTTCATCTGTAAAATGAGCTGGAAAATGAATGGCAAACCACTCTAGTATCTTTGCCAAAAAAAAAAAACCAACCAAATGGGGTCACGAAGAGTCAGAAGTAACTGAAACAACTGAACAACACATATTTATGTGTGTATATATGTATACATACTTATATGTCATACCTTTCCAATTAGAATGTAAACTCCTTGAGGGCAGAGACCATTTCACTTTTGTCTTTGTGTCCCCAGCGCTTAGCACAGTCCCTAAAGCATGGTAGGTAATTAATATGTAAATGCTTGTAGATTAATTGGTTAATTATCCTTTGGTGCGTGGAAAGAGCACTGAACTGGGAGTTGATCGGCTTGGTTCAGAACCCCAGCTGCACCACTACCTTCCTTCAATGACCCTGAACAAGTTGCTTCCTTTCTCTGGGGCTCAATTCCTTAATATGTAAAAAGGAGGGGATGCCTCTAGGGGATCTCCAAGTTCCCTTCCAGCTGTTGCTTTCTACACTCTCTATTTCCATAACCCCAATATTCCAGAGTCTTGGCCAAGAAGCAAGTCTTCTGCAACCAAGTTACTAATGTGGGGACTGTGTGTTTGATGAGGATCACATACTTTGTATCTCCTCAAGCTCAAGCAGGAGTCTCCCTGGTTAACACTAGGATCTTACCTGTATTTGAAGGTGAACAGTTTTTGGTAGATTGCATGTGGGAGGGAAAAGCAGGTGGCCATGATCCAGATGATTGCAATAGAGATGAGCCCTTTTGTAGGGGAGATTCGGGGTTTCAATGGATGCATGATAACCTACAAAGGAAGTAAATCAGAATCACAAGTTCACAGAATGACAGAACAGAATCTCAGCACGGGAGAGTCCTCAGAGGATATCAAATCCAACTCATTCCTGAGAATGAAACTCCTCTACGAGAGTCCCAATAACTGCTCATCCAGCCTCCCTTGAAAGCCTTCAGTGATGGGGAGCCCATTCCACCGTGGTAGAGCTCCAGCTACTAAGTCTTTCTTTACATAGAACCTAAGTCTCTGCTACTTCCACCCACGGTTCCCAGTTCTGCCCTCAGCAGCCATGAAGAACAAGTACAGTACCTCATTCATTTCAAGTACTTGAAGCCTACAATCCATTTCCCCCAAAATTGTTTTCTCTTCTCCAGGCTAAACATCCACAGCTCTTCCACCCAATCCTCATATAGCAGTCGTCAAGGCCCCAAGAGCTCCCTCACTGAAGAGTTAGCAAGAGCAAAGAATCCAGGCTAAGCACATTCTCTTATCCTTGCTTCTCTCTCTCTACAGGTGCTACTACTTAGTTAATTCAAAATACATCCTTTCTTTTCACTGGACACAGCAGCTTCTTTTGGGGCCCCCAGCACTACAGTGTCCCATAGGCTGTGCCCCGTAGCAGGTTTAAATGTCTTCTACCTAAGCATGCTCAGGAATAGTTACAGGGTTGGAGAGGTGGGGAATGTTTTGTCCAATATTGGCAGGCAAACCACTAGGGAAATAGTATTTTTCCTCTTCCCTTCTAGTCCAGTCTCTCTTTTGTTTGTTGGAGCAAGGAAACAGAATTTAATGCCCTTTGGTCTAGAACTTTATTTGCAAGTTTTTTGAGGGGTAAGGGAACAGCAGTGTTTGAGAGAGGTGTGCCTTCATTCACTCTTCCAGGAAGCCAAATCAATTCCACCCTTGCCCCACAGGTTGCTTCCTCTTGTGCACACACTGCGCAGAGAGGGCAGCTCCATAGAGATAGAATTATGGCTCTACATCTGTGAGCATGAGAATGTCCCAGAACAAATACCACTGAGTGCTCATGCCCTGGCTGCCTGCCCCATTCTGAGGTTAGATGGGTAGATGAAGCAGACCAGGCTTAGTTCAAAGAGCCCTGGGAAGCTTTGTTTTGTGAAATCTTAAGTCCTTTAAACTGCACTGGAAGGTACTTCCTCCTCGCCGCCCCCTCACAGACTCCTTCTCTTTCTTCAAGATGTAGTCCAGGCATCGTCTTCTGTCCCAAGCTCTTCCTTGATCCCCTACCCAAAGACTACCCAATGCCCTCCCAAACTACCTTACATTCAATTACCTTATATTTTCTTTATATTTATTCTGCATCTATTTAGACATGGAATTTTTGTCTCTCCTCATTAGGATGTAAGCTTCTTAAAAGCAGGGACTGCCTCATCCTTTGTATAGTCCCCAACACCTAGCACATTCCCCGGTTTATAGTACATGACTTGTCATGGCTTGTTAGTTGGTTAGGAGCCTAATAGAATCTGAAGGAAGTTCCTTTCATAAATCATAGGAGCACAGGATTTAGAGCTGGAAAGGTTCTTAGAGATTATCTAATCCACGTCCTTCATGTTACAGATAAGGAAATGAAGTTCTGTCGAGGTTAAGTAATTGGGACGAAATCACGCAGGGTAATAAGTGGCCAAGACAGAATTCAACCACAGTCCACTGGCACCAAGTCCAGTGCTCTCTCCACCGCAGCACAGATCCCGTTCATCCTCAGTAAATGCTCCCCTACATACCAAAGTCAAGGAGAGGAAGACAGTGGGGAATGCAAAGATTTCAGATGGCACTAATGAGATTGAAAGGGGGCAAAGACCCAGAAGACAGTAAAGCTGTAAATCCTTGCAGGTTCCTCTGAAACACTAGAAATCAGAGTACTCCGGTAAACAAAGACTATTTCCACCAGAAAGGATTTCACTGAACTTTGCAAAGGGCAGAAATTTCACTGTTTTGAAAAGGGCAGACATTTAGGGGAAAATAACAACAAACACCAACAACACTGAAGGAACCTTGATTTTCATGGGATCTCACACTTTCAAATCACCATCAGAAGGCCAGCTAGACACTGATGAATCCCTAGTCTCCTTAGGAAGCAAATGATTTCTAAAACCAAAAAATGAACCAGTTCTCACAGCCCATCCCTCACTGCACAGTCATAAGTGGAACTATTACTGAAGAGATTTTTCCCAATGATGCCATTGGGACAATCAGTGGAAAGAGGACTAGATTTAGAGTCAGAGGACCTCAGTCCTAATTCCATTTCTGACCAGTTAGAGTGACCTTGGATAAGTTATTTCATGTCTTTGGGCCTCAGTTTCTCATCTATGAAATGCAAGGGATTGGACTAGGTAACTTCTAATAAATCTTCCAATTCTGATCCTAAACCAGAACTCAGGTCTTTCCCATAATCCCTACTTTGGGATCTAATGACCCTTACTCATTTAAAGGATCCTCTAACACGTTGATCAAGAAGGACTTTAATCACCCTCCACGGGAAGCTGCATTAGCTCCGGTTGATTGAAAGTTCACACTGAACAATAAAAAGATGATTATAATGCACAAGAGCCTTAGATATTATTTTTCATTTCCTCCTTGTCCTCCCCTTCCTGCCATTCCCCTCTCCATGCTCCATACAAATAGGCATTTGGGACAACTCGCTGAGATGTAGATTGAAATTGTTGCCATTATTCATTATTTATGTTGGTTAATCTGGAGAAGAAGGATCTAGAATTAGGAATGCTAAAACATCTTCCCTTTGTGACTCAGATCTCTCACTCTTGGAGGAAGAGTTTTATTGTGTGAAGGCATGATGGGTATAAGGGAGGAGAGGTCTGGTCAGGACAGTCATATATTGAACTAGTCTTTTCTTACAAACTCAACTGAAAGTACATTTTTTGATCTTGGCAAAATTCTGAGGATGTTTTGCTTTCTTGATGATTCCCATGTAGACTTTGATTAATGCAATGACTGGAATTATTTCCTGGGTCTTGTGAACCCACCATGATGCTTCCCTCTCTGCCTGCCTACTATCTCATATTTCATTTTGTTTTCTTCTTTCAGGAGAGTAGCTAATTAGTTTCTTGGAGACACTTCTGCCTCCAATTGAGACCACCTCATCACAGTTTAAACTTCTGATATGGGGGGACTGTGGGAATCTTATAATCATGACATTCGACTCCCAGTCTCCATGCCTTTGCCCAAGCTAATCCTCCATGCCTGAAATGCACTCCCTGATCATCTCTGCCTCTTAGAAACCTTACTTTCCTCCAAAGCTCAGTTCAAGTATCACCTTGTACATGAAGCCTTCCCTGAAGCCCTTAGCATCTGGTGTCTCCACAGCCCACCCCTCAAAAAAGAATTATCTTTCTCTTCTTTTGTACTTATATGTATACATCTTTCCCCCTGTAGAAGGTAAGTTCCTTGAGAGTAGGGACTACTTCACTGTTTTGCTTTTGCATATGTATCTCCAGCATGTAGCACAGTGACTGGCACATAGTTGGTGCTTAATAAATTGTTGTTGTTTGATGAGTCATTGATCAAAGAACCGTTTTTGTTTTTGTCTTTTTATTTTAACCCTGGTAGTCCCAGTCCTGGTTTTACAAATGAGGATGTGTGAAGTCATCTAACTAGTAAGTGGTGGAGCTGGAATTTAAACTCAGGTCTCCTATATGAACTAGGTCAAACATCCTTCCCCCAAAATAGGAATGGCTCCAAAATGGAAAGCTCTTGTGGTCCAGACAGAACTAGCATTTTTATAGATAAAGGAAAGCCATCTAGTACCTAGCCAAGAATATGACTTACCTCAATTAAGAATGTCACCTTAATCTAGAATTGTGCATTTGTCTAAAACCTTGCACTGCCTCCAACAGTTCACTGGAACCCTAGAACCCTAGTGCAACCTGAACTCTACCACTAATATAGCTAACACAATGATGTTCCTTGCTTCAATCTAGAGCAAGTTGCTCCCACAACTCCTACCTTTGAGTCAATCTAGAACTCCACTACAATTTACACTTTTGTACTAATCTAGTTCTGAGGAGAAGTGTGGTATAGTCAATATAGGTATGACATTGGAGCCTAAAAGACCTGAGTTCAAATTTTTTCTCTGATACATACTAGTTACACAACCATGTAAAAAATGAACCTCTCAGCATCCAGGCAACTCTTAGCCATTTACAAAGCAGAAGAAGTTTCCTCACAGAAGTTTCTGAAACCAATGAAATCACAGTTACAAGGGGAAAATTCTAACTCATATAATCCCAGCCTAGCCCAAATCTAGAACCTACATATGATCTAGAACCTCACACAGCTTAAAGATACTTCAATTTAGAGTTCTACTACTTTCTAGACCCTCACACTACTCTAGAATCTCACAGCAATACAAAACTATGCTCTAAACCTATTGTGACCATATCTTTCATCTCTTCCAACCCTCTCTCACCGTCCTGCTGATGCTAGGCAAAATGATCCAGAATGAAGTTGTAAACAAGACCTCTGGATCTCATGGCTTTTGTGAGTAAACTTTTCTGACTCAGTCAGAGCGAGTAGCCTAGGCTGTGAGATTCTAAGTATCGAACAATTCTGGAGCAGCAGGGGAGTTATTGAAGGGCAGTCATTGTTCTCCCCTCCCTTCCAAGCTCTTCTTCTGTATTGATTTTCCAACACAACTATTTCACATAAATTCTTCATTACAAACATACCAGCAGCAAGTTTGTGCCATGGAAAGCCCCCTCTCAGAACCCTCGAAGTGCTTTGGCAGCAGAGGCGGGAAGGAAAATGGCTTTCCCCATAGATGGAATCTCACCTGGTGTCTGTCCACAGCAATGGCTGTCAGGGTCAGGGCTGAAACGTGGAGGGAGCAATACTGAGCAAATCGACTGATGTGACACATGCCCTTCCCAAATATCCATGTGCTGTTCACAAAGCGGACCTAGAAAGAAACAAAGACCAACAGACAGAAAGACAGACAGTGTGATGAAGTTTGCTAAATTTGGAGTCAGAGGACCTGGCTTCATTTGCTGACTCTGCAATTATTATCTGTGTGACCTTGGGCAGCTAAATCCCTCTGAGTCTCTGTTTCTTTATTTATAAATATAAAAATAAGAAAGTATCTCTGATAAAGGCCTCGTTTCTCAACTATATGGAGAATCAAGTCAAATTTACAAAACTACAAGCCATGCCCCAATTGATAAATGGTCAAAGGATATGAACAGGCAGTTTTCAGATGAATAAATCAAAGCTATCTATAGGCATATGAAGAGTGTTCTGAATCACTTTTAATTAGAGAAATGAAAACTAAAACAACTCTGAGGTACCACCTCACACCTATCAGATTGGCTAATTAATATGACAGAAAAGGAAAATGATAAATGCTGGAGAAGATGCATGAAAATCACTACTGCACTATTGGTGGAGTTGTGAACTGATCCAACCATTCTGGAGAGCAGTTTGGAAGTTTTCCCAAAGGGGAACCAAACAGTGCATACCCTTTGATCTAGCAATCCCACCACTAGGTCTGTATCCCAAAGAGATCATAAAAAAGGGAAAAGTACCTATATGTGCAAAAATATTTATAGCATCCTTTTTGTGGTGACAAAATATTGGAAACTGAGGGGATGCCCATCAATTGGGGAATGGCTGAACAAGATGTGGTATAGGAATGTAACGGAATACTATTGTGCAATACAAAATGATGAACAGGAAGATTTCAGGAAAACCTGAAAAAACTTGTACAAACTGAGGTAAAGTGAAATAAGCAGAACCAAGAAAACATTGTACGCAGTATCAGCAACATTGTTTGATGACCAACTATGAATGACTCAGTTCGTCTCAGCAACACAATGATCCAAGACAAGTACGAAGGACTCACGAAGGAAAATGCTATCCATATCCAGATAACAAACTGATGGACTCTGAATGGAGATCAAAGAATTTTTTTCACTTTATTCTTTCTCATGATTTTTTTTCTTTTGGTCTGTTTCTTCTTTCACAACTGTGACTAATATAGAAATATTTTTACATGATAGCACGTGTATAAACTATATCAAAAAGCCTACCATTTTCAGAAGAGGGGAGGGAAAGAAGAAGGGAGAAAAATTAGGAACTTGTAAAATTCTTATAAAATTATTTTAAAAATCTTATAAAAATGAATGCTAAAAAATTTCTTGACATGTAACTGAGGGAAAAATAAAATGTTATTAAATTAATTAATTAATTAATTAAAATAAGGAGGGTGGACTATATGATCACTAAGAACTTTTCCAATTCTAAATTCTATAAGTCTGTGAACACAACTACAAGTTTTGTTCCTCACGGGCTCTCCTGATCTTGGATCGTGTCGAGTTTTCTTTTTTTTCCCTTTTAAATTAACAAGCATTTTTTTTTCTTCCTTCCCACCTCTTCACTTCAATTAAATGGGGGGGGAAAAACACCCTTATAACAAATATGCATAGTCAAGGAAAATGAAATGCTGCCTTGTCCATTTCCAAAAATGTAGATCTCATTCTTTATCATAAGTCCATCACCCCTCTGTCAGGAAATGGGTAATATGTTTCATCGTTGTGTCCTCTGGATTGATTAGAGTTTTCTTAAGTCTTTCAACATTTTTTGTATTTACAACATTTTGTCATTGTACAAATTTTTCTCCTGGTCTGACTCACTTCACACTGTATCAGTTCATAGAGGCTTTTCTAGGATTCCCTGAAACCCTCCTTTCCATTATTTCTTGCAGTGAAATAATATTCCATTATATTCATATACCATAATTAGACAAGCCATTCTGTAAATGATGGGATCCCCTTTAATTTCAAGTTCTTTGGTACCACAAAAAGAGGTGCCATAAATATTTTTGTATATATTGATCCTTTTCCTCTTTTTTTGATTTCTTTGACTGAGCAGTGGTATTTCTGGGTCAAAAGATAAGCACAATTTAATGACTTTTGAGGCATAGTTACAAATTACTTTCCAGAAGGCTGGACCACTTCACAGCTCCACCAATGGTGCATGAATGTGCTTGTTTTCCTGCAGCCCCGCCAATATTTATCATTGTCTTTTTATGTTGTCTTTGCCAATATAATCAATGTAAGATAGAACTTCAGAGTTATTTTAATTTGCATTTCTCTAATTATTACTTATTTGGAGTATTTTTTCATATGACTATTAATAGCCTTGATTTCTTCCTCTTAAACTGCTTGTTCATATCTTTTGATCATTTTTCATTGAAGATTGGCTCATTCTTATAAATGTGAATCAATTCCTCATATATCTTGGAAATGAAACCTTTATCATAAAAATTTGCTGCAAAGGTTTTTCCAGTTAATTTTTTTTTCTTTATAATTTTAGCATTGGCTTTGTTTGTGCAAGAACTTTTTAATTTTATGCAATCCAAATTGCATATTTTGTCTTCTATGATCCTCTCTGTCCCTTGTTTGATTGTAACTCTTCTCCTCTTCATGTATCTGAAAGGTAATTTCTTCCTTGTCCCTCTAATTTACTTATGATGGGACCTTTTTTGTCTAAATCATGAATCCATTTCAAGCTTATCTTGATATATGGTAGGAGAGCTTAGTCTATGTATAGTTTTTATAAGACTACTTTCCAAAAGTAGCTACTTTTATTAAATAGTGAGTCCTTGCCCAAGTAGCTAGAACACTAGGTTACTAGATTTTTTTATGACACTACTCTGCAATACTGATCAACCACTCTAATATTTAACCAGTATCAAATTATTTTGTAGTATAGTTTGGAACCTGGTGTGGCTAGGTCCCCTTCCTTGTCACTAACCTTTTGTTTGTCCAGATGAATTTTGTAATTATTTTTTTCTAATTCCACAAAGTAATCCTTTTGTAGTTTGATCATCATGGCACTGAATGGATAAATTATAGACAATATTATTTTATTATATTGGTTTAGTCTATCCATGAACAATTAATATTTTTCTAATTATTTAGGTCTGTGTTTATTTCCATAAAGAATGTTTTGTAGTTTTATTCATACAGTTTCTGTATGTCTTGCTTACCAGATGGCCACTTGGTATAATGGTGGGAAAACATACTGTTGTTTTTTAAAGCCTATGGTTTTATAGATTTTTTTTTAAATAAAACCTATAGTTTTAGCACTTTTCCTTACTGATTTTGTGACCTTGGAGAAGTCAGTTAGTCTCTCTGAGCCTCAGTTTTCTCATTAAAAATATGTTAATAATCATCATAATTTTACCTATTCACAAGGTTCTGGTGAGGATTGAATGAGATCAATTAGGTATTTATTTTGGAAGATCTGACCCAGAATATTATACATAGTAGACAGTTATCACATGTTTGTTAAATGAATGGATTGTCCTGTGGTCTAATCATGTTTTTTTATACTTTCATGATTCCTCCTTTATGAAGTTTGACATGCTTTCTCAAAAAGTACCACTTTGTTGGTTCAGAGACTCTAAAGGACTTGCCTTAAGTAGCATAATGAGATCTGAGCTAGAGCTGAGAGTAAACTCTATCAGTTTCTGACCTCCTTACTCTGGTTCTTTATTGATCATTGCTTCCCAGAGTGTAAAATTGGGCTTTTCAGAGTTTTCTATGGCTCCTAGAAAGGTCCTGAGTTCCAGAAGGGAGATGTCAAGTGGGGTACAGGACTATGAATATGTGAGCACCACTGGGAATGAAAGAAAGATTCTTGATAAGAATAAGAGAGAGGAGATCTATATTAAAATGTAGTTGAGAAGTATTTAAGAAAATAAATCCACAATAAAACATACAAAAATTTTTAATTAAAAAAAAAAGGAGAGAGAGGAGCTCAGGGACCTTGGAGGTAATGGGAAGGCAAAGGGATTCACTGACAAAAGGGAATAAGGACAAGGGAAATTTCTTCAACATAGTGAAGAAGGTGCAAAATGGCTAGTCGACAATCTGAGGTCCTCTAGGAAATTCTGGGATTTATCATCATATAACTGTGCAGTTCAATATAATTTAATTCAACTAACACTCATTAAGAGTCTACCATGTATCTGTCAGGTGCCATATACACAGAAAGAGAAGGAACTTACAATCAAATGGGAGGGGCAGGGGAAGGAGAAAAGAAAAGTATACCATGATCTGAGGGAGAGTGAGATACATGCAAAGGAGAGGTCCAAAGTAATTCCTACAAGAAATCTGTGGTAGGAGGAGGGGAATTCAGTGAAGGATTCGTTGAGGAGGCAGCATCTTAACTGGTCCTTGAACAAAGGGAAGGACATCAGTAAACAGAGAAGCAGTCCGTTCCTGGCATGGAGGAGAGTGTTAAAGGGATAGAGAGAGAGGAATAGGCAAGATGAGAACAGAAATGGGCGGTCATCCAGTTTGGCTGGAACAGAAAAATACATGAAGGGATTGCGGTATGACATAAGGATAAATAGGGATGTTGGTGCCAAATGTTGGAGAGCTTAAATACCAGGATAAGGAGTTTATATGAAAAAGAATCCAAGGGTAGAAAAGATGCCCTGCATCTGTGCCTGCTTCTGCCAGACTGAGGCAAAAAAGGTGCCCACGAGCCATGCTAAAAATAATAATGACTGGTATTTATATAGCACCTACAATGTGCCAGGCACTGTGCTAAGCACCTTATAAATATTATCTCCTTTGATTCTCACTACAACCCTGGGAGGCAGATACTGTTATTATCCCCATTTTACAGCTGAAGAAACTAAAGCAAATAGAGGTTAAGTAATAATAGCTAACATTTATCTAGTGCTTTCTATGCACCAGGCACTGTGCAAAGCACTTTACAATTATCTCATTTGGTCCTCACTATAGTGCTATTGTGCTATACCCACCTTACAGATGAGAAAACTGAGGTAAATAGGGGTCAAGTGACTCACCCAAGGTCACACAGTTAGTAAGTATCTGAGGCTAGACTTGAACTTAGATCTCACTTACTCTAGGCACAGTGATCTATCCATTGAGCCACCTAGTTGCCCCCAAGTCATGTTCCCAAATCCTAGGCAGTGGCAAGATCCTGGGGCATCTGCATTAATAAGGGTTTGTATTGGGGCACACCCAGGGGTAATGGAGTGAATTCCAAATTCCCAAAGGATTCTGAGACTAACCTACCCACTACAGATGTTCCAGGCTGGGGACCAGCCTAAGCCCAATGTAAGTTACTCAAGTTAATGCAGTACCTCTCAACACAAAACCACAAAAGGAGTAAAGCTTCAAATTGACTCAGGGGTTCAAGGTGCAACCTGGGGGTGGGGAACTTCATAGCTTAGCAGTAGATCCCCTGGCATTTGTGCTGGGCTACAGGGGGAGGTAGGTCTATGGCACTGCTTGGGCAGGGCATTGTTTGTGTTTGCACCAGATGCTCAGAAGCCTCCCTAGCAGAAAAAGAAGAAGCACTGGGCTCATGTACCGCCCCCTCTTCAAAAACTGTGTTAAGACACCAGTGCCCCCTTTGTCCTTCTGCCCCTTCTCATCTCTCACAGAGAAGTCTGGACAGCTGTAAATGGGACTCCAGCTCTTACTGCAACTAGAAAATCATGAAGGTTTACAATAGCCAGGAGCAAAATAGTGGCTCAACTCTATGTCAGCTGAGACCAAAACTCAGGCTTGATGCAAGTCAGGGCACCAGGGTCTTAGTTGAGAGTCTTCCATTCATGTAGTTGAGTGATCTTAGGCCAGCCCTAAGATCTGAATGGGCATTCAGTTCCCTGAGCCTTGGTTTCTGTTTGTAAAATAAAGATAATCCTTGTACTACTCTGTCACATCAAATGAGAGAATGTATATGACTTTAAAGTCTATTAAAGCACTTTAAAGTCTAAATTAGTGGACTTTTCAAATGAAGGCTGTGAAGCATAATAGAAAGAGTATTATTCAGCTTGGAGTTAGGAGGCCTAGATTAGAATTTTCACTTTGATACTTGCTGCCTGTGTGACTATAGGTAAGTCCTTTAATCTCTCTGTGTTTTATTTAGCCCTGTCTGTAAAGTGCAGATAATAATACCAGTAATACCTACTTCCTTGAGTTGTCATGAGGAATATACTTGGTAAACTATAAATCACAATAGAAACAATATTATAATTAACATTATTAGTAAAAGGGTAGGGACCAGACCCATGATTTCACTGGCATCAGGTGACTCCCTGATGAGGTAATTCCCTTGGCCAGTATAGTTTGGCACCTTCCCTGCAACTTATAGCTGCATGGAGAGTCTCCTGAGGCACTGAAAGGTGGTGATTTGCCCAGAGTTACACAGCTAGTAGTATGTCAGAGACAGAACTTGAACCCAGGACTTTTAAGGTTGCCTCTCTCCTCACTGGGCTATGATAATATGTGGAAAGCCCTTCACAGATCTTAAAGCTCTATATAAATGTTAGCTATTACTAAAGAACTATGCAAATGTTAAGTATTATTATTCAGCAGTGATTTGTAAGACATTCAGGTGGGTGTAAATTATTCTCCCAATAGATCCGAATCACTCTGCTTGTGAGTCATAGGCAGATCAGAAATGAAATGGAGTGACAGAGAGACCCTCCTTTCACACTCTCAATTGTTCCTAAGCAGCTGGTCCAAGGGCTTATCCTGGGCACCCATTCCAAGCACTTAGGATAAGAATCACATCTGTCTTCTCTATTATTTTTACCTTTCACCACCAAGCACAATCTCTATCCTGCAACCTATGGGCAAACCAGAGAGAATGAATGAGATGCACTAGATGGTTTAGAAAATAAATTTAACTTTTCATTAATCTTTTCCATAACCAGACATCACCAGCTGTTTCCAATTTCCTTGATACCCAAAGCAGCAACCAGCTTAAGGAAAAGCTTTAAATGCCTGTACATTAGATATAATAATTCAAATTGTACCCTGTCACAGCTTCAATCACCTGTCATTTCAAAGGCTTCAAATTATTGCTCAATTATCCAACAGTTCAGTCCCTAAGAAGATTAGAAACGAAAGCAAGCCATTCACCCACATCTGGCTGAAGATGCTCAAATCTAATTCACTCAGTGACCCCTGACACAGAACCTTTAGCTAAAAGCGGGGAACAAGTGGGGAGAAAAGGATAGAGAGAAGATGGAGAGAAAAAAAGAAGTAGGAAGAAAGGATAGGTGAGGAAAGGAGGAAAAATAGAAAAGAAAGTGGAAAGGAAGAGGGGAGAGAAAAGGGTAGTAGAAGAGAGGAAAAAAAGAGAAAAGTGGAGAGATGAAGGAAAATGGAAAAGGGAAAGGAGGAGGGGGAGAAAGAAAGAGGAAATAGAAAAAAGATAGAAAAAGAAGAGGAGGAAAAGGAAAAAAAGAAGAGGTATAGAGAGAAGGAAGAGAGGAAAGGAGAGAAAGGGAAAAGTAAAATAAAAAAGAAGAGGAGAGGGGGAGAGGGAGAGACAGACAGAGAGTGAATACCTCAGTTTCCATGCTCTTACCAAAGTGAAGGGAGTATTAAGCAAGGTTATCATTATGTCAGCTACTGCCAGGTTGACAATGAACAAGCTGGTGGCCGATTGCATTCGCTGGTTCTTGATGACAACATGACAGACCAGGACATTTCCAAAGAGAGAGAAGACAATAATGAAGGAGTACGCCACAATGAGCAGAGCTTTCACCATAGGCTTCTGAGATTCTGCCCCATATCTCTTTCTGCCTACGAAGTTCTGCCAATCTGAAAATGAGTAGTTGCCCCAGGGGAAAAAACTAGATACATTGGGGATCCCAAAGTCTCCATCCAAACTTCCATTGTTGGTCCATCTCTCAGGCCTCTCAAAGGCTTGCACCAGGCACGGGAGGGAGAACCACAGCAAGGAAGTTATCATTCTGGATGAGCCGTGCCCCACTTTAGAATTCCTTATCTCTAAAAGAGGCGAGTGCTGTCAGTCCACGGAAGTTCAGAAGAGTAAGTGATTTGACTTGTCCCAAAAGCAGAAATCTTCCCAACAAGCAAAAAAAAAAGCAGGATGCCTGCGTTCCCAGAGCTATCCAGCCTCGTTGTTCGCTGTTCAATCAGCACACACTGATTTTGTTTCAGCACTTTTATATCTGCTCCCACACAGGCTGTTAACGAAGGACTCTGCCTATTGGACTGCAGAACAGCTCCCTTTGTGACGCGCTCCTTCACACTGTCAAAGATTACTCCCACCAGGTTTGGATTTCTTCCTTTCTCCACTTTCCCCCACGCCTTCCACCTCTTCCCCCACCCCAACAAAATCAAAGCTGTATCCTACAAGCCGATTTTCACACACAAGCACAGACACACACAAAAGTTCAGTCGGTTTGTATCTAAGCCCCTTGTCATTACAAAGCAGGTGGGCAGGTAGGAAAGAAAAGCAGCTGCTCATTGGGTTTAAAACAGCATGGATTTTTAAGGAAGACCACGTCTGCTGGTTCAGCAGTAGTCAAGTTTCCAAATCAGAAAATTAATTTATGAGAATTGAGCTTCCTTTCTAGTCTTAACCCAGAGCCAGCTGTAATATCCAGAACTTAGGTCCTAAATGTATTTTATCTACAAGCTAGACAAGTAAATAGGGACTTCATAGGTTAACCCAACTTTTATGCTGCCTATACCAAGTAGAATGTATTTCTCTTAACAGCCCATGGGACAGAGAATATGTCTGCAGTTTTAAAGTCATAGGATTCAGAGCAGGAAAGGTCCTTAGAGATCAGCTAGTCTCACCCCCTCATCTTTCAGAAAAGGAAACTGAAGTCCAGGGAATTTAAAAGATCTGTCCAAGGTTATACAGCTGTTAGTAGTTTGTCTAGGACTAGAAATCAGGTCTTTTCCTAATCTGGGCATCTTTTCACTACAATGCATGTATTGCTAATGAAACATTCTCCAAAGCTTGTCTACTTTCAGGACCAAAGAATAAAAGAAAATGAGGCTTGACTGAGCATTTAGCTAGTCTTGAGCTATAGTGAGCTCCCTGCCACTGTAAACATTCAACCAGATGCAGGGTGGCCATAGAGTAGGGATGCTGTGGGAGGAAGGCATGCAATGGATGCAGGATTCCAAATGAGAAGCTGGCCCAGATTTCTATTGAAGTCCCTTCTAACTCTACAGAGCAATGACAGCTCTATAATATTTGTAGACAGCTTATCCTGGCAAGTCTTGCTTTCAGCTGCTTATTGACGTGATCCCCCCCTCTGGTTAAGTCTTTCAATTGATATTATCATCATCCCCCTTTTCTCTTACTCCTTTCTATAGCTCAAGCAGCAGAAGCTGGATGAGAAGGTCTTTGATACCAAACAACTACCTCTTCTTCATTCAATGCCACTAGAAGACAGTACAAACTGGAAAGATACCACATCGAAAAGGAGTAGGTTGGGAGCTGACTGCTTTGTATCATCCTGAAAAGAGATACTGTCCACCCTTAGTCAGCATTCTGGTGCAACAGAAAATGCTGAATTTGAAATTGTAGGAGCAAGGTTCAAATCCTGGTTCTGTCATTTAATAGCTGTGTGATCTCACCTCTATGGGCCTCAGTGTTCTCACCTGTAAAATAAGGAGGTTGGATTAGTTAACCCTTCAGGGCCCTTTCCAGTTCTAAATCTATGATCCTAATAATGGCTTACATTTGTTTAGCACTTTAAAATGATGTCTAGGGGCAGCTAGGTGGTGCAGTGGATATAGCACCGGCCCTGAAATCAGGAGGACCTGAGTTCAAATCCGGCCTCAGACGAAACACTTGACACTTACTAGCTGTGTGACCCTGGGCAAGTCACTTAACCCCAACTGAAAAAAAAATGATGTCTACAGAAGGACCACTGAATGGCAGACAATGAAGGTATTATTATCCTCATTTAATAGATGAGGAAAATGAGGCTTAGAAAAATCCACAGTCACACAGCTAAGAAGCCTCAGAAGAGAAACTCAAACTTAAGTTTCTAGGTGCTTAATTCCATGCTCTTCTCACCGGTATGTGGCAGGGGTAGTTGGGAGGGATTGATAAGCTATAAGGCTTTCAGATTTCTCAGTCAGGTCTTCCCCATTGCCTCCCATGGATATTCAAAAGTAAGCCCAAAAACTACAGGGGGAGGAGGAAAGGGCTGTCCACAACAGGCACTTAGTAAGTTCAATTCAGTTCAACATTAGTCAAGGGATCACTAGCGGTTCTGGCTTTCCCACGAGTCTACTCATTTCCAGTAATAATAAAAGTAACAGTAGACATTCATAAGGTCTGAAAAGATCATTTGTACCTTGCAACAGGGATGACAGCTATTATTGTTCCCATTTTACAAATTAAAAACACCTGAGGCCCAGGGAAGTTACATGACTTGCCTACGGTCACACAACTAGTACATCTCAGGGGTGGGGTTCAAAACCAGACCAAGTCCAGCACTCCCTCCACTACACAAGGCTGCCATTCCAATAAGGATAAATAAGAACCAGCTACATTCTAATTCCATTGTTGTTACTACTAACTGGATACAGATAATGTCTCTGGTACATAGCATAATGTTTGTTTCCTAGGACGGTCCACAGAGAGTTATTGTAGCACATTCAAATGTTTCCTGGCTCTGGAGTCAGATGTTCTAGGTTCAAATCCAGCCTTTGATGCTTACTATCTATGTGATGCTAGGCAGGCCCCAACTTCCGCGGGCCTCTGCTTCATGAGGGGCCTGGACTTAGCCAGCGCTTACCACATAGTAGGCACTTACTGAATGCTTGTCGATTTGATGTGACTTGGAATAGTGATTTCTGATAGCCCTTCCAATTCTGGATTTGGCCCTAGAAAAAGCCTGGGGCGGCTCGATGGCAAAGTTGATAGAACACTGAACACAGAATCAGGGAGACCTGAGTTCTACGCCAATTAAAAAAATCTAGAGACATAGTTTCTGGGTAATTTAATAATTTTACTAATAAGGCCAGCAGGCTATTCATCAAAGGATGATTATTCAGCCATCCCTCTTAGACCAAAGACCCCAGTGGCTGTGGAGTCACAGTCTGTATGCCCTTAGAAGAGAAGGTGTTCCTGAGGGATGCCTAATCACCTCTGATTGGTTAACCCAATGGGGGATGGGCTATCTTGGGGTACCTGACTGAGGTCACTCAAATCTTGGTCAAAGATACATCAATTTCCACATCACCTGTCTTGATAGTAGGGAGAATCAACATTTTCCCAGGCCTGTCTGAGCAAACACAACTAGCAGGAATACACCCATTAGCCAAAACTTAGATTTCTTTTACTGTCTTATTGAATCTTGGCCTGGGTAAATCTTTAAGAGAGATTTCCCACATTGGTTGGTTTCTGGATGAGAAAGTAGAAAAGGGAAAAAACCTCTGTCTTAATACAATAATTAGTTATTAAATATAAGAGATAAATATTCATTTCTCACAATTCAAATCCAGCCTCAGACACTTGCTAGCTGTATGGTCCTAGGCAAGTCACCTAACCCTGTTTGCCTCAGTTTCTTCATCTGTAAAATGAGCTGGAGAAGGAAATGGCAACCCACTCCAATGTCTTTGTCAAGAAAACCCTAAATGGGGTCATTAAGAATTAGACACAATTGAATGACTAAACAACAAAACAACAAAGCCTGTCCTAGATCTGTGTGTTGATATACCAACTCAAGGAACTGGCCATCCAGTTGCATGTCATAGTCTGAACAAGGGTCATTTCTCATTCATTTGGTTTTTCCTGCATGGATTATTAAGCCAAACTTTTGAGTAATCATGGATTTTCATTGAGGATGCCTTGTAACATTCTGGGACTTAATGCAATCAGTCCAATATCATCTGTAAACTCATCCCCTGTAAGGAAAATCCCTCTTCCGCTTGAACTCTGCGTAGGATGCCCTCTGAAATAATGGTCAACATCTTTAGCAGGCACACATCTCTCTGGTTTATGCCTTGCTGAGCAATAAGCAGGGGGTCACTGAGCCAAATTATCTCTGTGGTTTTGCTTATCAAGGCATATTGCATGAGCCTAACATATTCACAACAGACCCCTTGTTGAGTGGAAGCATTTAAGTCTGTGTTTTGTTCTACTGCATTACAAATTTTTTTTTGTAATCGAAACACAATGAACACAGAAGGATGCTCCACACTCTGCACCGTTCAGTTAATTGTGTAACTATAACAATGTGTTCTGCTGTAGCAAGTCACTTGGGAAAGCCCACAGGTTCTCATCTTATGCTTTCACTAAAGACACCCACAATGTGCATCTAGATCATTTGCATAAACATTTTATAATGATGAAAAAGTAAGCAAATGGGTAGGTGCCCATTTGTGACTTCATGGCTGCCTTTTCCCAGGGTAATGATATCATCTGCGATATTTTTTTGCATTCATTCAGTATCTTCGCATCCCTAAGACATCTTGTGAAACAATCCCGCAGGGCGTTCAAGATCGTGTGGTCTTCAAGAGGAATTGTTTGTTCTTGGCGTGGTCCAGCTGCAAGTCTTCATCTTTTTTTTTTCCTGATGATTTCTAACAATTAGAACTATTTAATGACTCATTTATTCAACAAGCATTTCTTCTTTTTAAATAATGTTTATATTCAGGGGTAGCAAGGTGGTGCAGTGGATAGAGCACCGGCCCTGAAGTCAGGAGGACCTGAGTTCAAATCCAACCTCAGACCAAACACTTGACGCTTGCTAGCTGTGTGACCCTGGGAAAGTCACTTAACCCTAATTGCCTAAAACAAACAAATGAAAATAATGTTTATATTCAGATCCTAATGAAGAACAACAAATAAGATGAATGTTTCCATATATTTAGATTAGGAAAAAAAGAGACTAGAACATGAAATTGCAAAGCTCTATTTCATACAGCATGATTTTCCTTTTAAGTATATAGCAAATTCAATATGTAACTTCC